ATCCAGGAAATCTAAGATTAGGAGCTGTGTAATAGAGTATAATGTGAATTAGGGGAGTAGGTGTCACTGAGCATCATTTATATTTCTGTCCTTTATTTTGAAAGATTTCATTTAACACCATAAATGTTATTTTTGAAGTTGTAGACTCAAACACAGTTTGTTGATTATGTCATATTATATAAAAGCTTATCGGCTAAATTGAAAATTAACATTGCCTTTTAAACAGGTGAGTACATGCCATATTCTCTAAGCGTAAGTTCTGAATAGATAGCACTAATGTCATTTAAGAAAAATGCAGCCATTTGTATCCTTTACTTTGTACCGGTCCCCAGAGCTCATAGAACACTATCTGTTCTGACTGATACCTGTCTGGGAGGGCTTTTGGAATTTTATTTGAGTAATAATACAGTAGTTCCTTCAAACCTTAAGATTACATGGCTAAGAATCCCAAGAATTTGGGATTAATACTTAATTAAAATAATTCCTTTTGAAAATGGATGAAATGCGGGTGGTACAACTGCAAAATCTCTTTGGCAGTGAATATTAAGTATAGTTCTTTAATGCTGTCTGGTAAGAGTGACTTGAAGGTATCAGTAGTGTGGCTCACAGGATTGAGTGCTGGCCTGCAAACCAGAGGGACAGCTATTAAATAATTCCCCGGAGGGCACATGTGTGGGTTTGCTGGCCAGTTAGGTCCCCAGTAGGGGGTGCTCGAGAGGCAACCACACATTGATGTTTCTCTTTCTCCTTCTCTTCCTCTCTCTCTAAAAATAAATCTTTTTTAAAAAATAAAAATAAAGGTATCAATAGGTAGATAATTGTGATGCTTCTTAACCTCCGACCTCCACTCTTTATAGGCTTTCTGTTTCCTTCAAAGAGTTAAATCTTAAGATTCCATCACAATCTATTGTTAACTTCATATTCTATACTGCCTTCCTGAATATAAAGTTTAATTTCAAAGAAGTTGAGGACGAAAAAGGGTCTATTAAAGATATCTGCTGCATTTTCTGAGAAACTAATTACGCATGTTTACTTTTCTCTCTCTTTCGTGCCAGGCTGTGGATTTTTATAGAAGATATTCTAAAAATGGTTTCATTCTAACAACCATACTGATGAAGTCCAAAAGGACCACCACAGAGTGAGGTTCATTGTAAATTTCAAGAGAAATTAGCAGAAGTGTTCTCCAAATTGCTTCTATGCTTTTTATCACACTTAAAAGTAAAGATTTATGTGTGAAAAGTAGAAAAGAATGTTGATCTTTTATGTTATTATCCTCTGTGTTATTTCTGAGACAGGAATAAGGACCTTTTAAGAGTTAGTAATTTTTTTAATGAGGCTAAACTTTCTAAAACTAGTTTTTTACTTAGGTGACTTTGGTTTTAATAACAAATTTCAGTTCACCATTATAATTTGATATCTGTACACTGTATTTCCTACTCACCACAAAAGGCTAGTTTCCATCCCTTACCATATATTTGGCCTCCTTTACCCATTTTATCTTCCCATCCCCTCCTTCCCCGTTGATAACCACCTTTCTGTTGTCTGTATCTATGAGTTTGTTATTGTTTTGTTTATTCATTTGTTACTTTTTGTGTTATATTCCACATGAGTGAAATCATACAGGTTTTATCCTTTTCCATCTGACTTATTTCACTTAGCATAATACCCTCAAGATCCATTTATGTTGTCACAAATGGTAATTTTTCATCCTTTTTATGACTGAGTAGTATTACTCTGTGTGTGTGTGTGTGTGTGTGTGTGTGTTTTGTGTTTGTCTGTCTGTGTGTCTGTATACCATATCTTCTTTATCCATTCATTCATTGATGGGCACTTAGGTTGTTCCTGTATCTTGGCTATTGTAAATAATGCTGCAGAGAACATAGGGGTACATATATATTTTTGCATTAGTGTTTTCATAAGGAGAGAATTGTTCTTAATCTGAATTTATAGCTGCCAAAATGAAAGTTGATAATCTCAACTCTGATGTTTATTAACATATGAAGGATAAACAAATTGCGCTATATCTTTACAAAGCAGTACTGTTCAGCAGTAATAAGGATATGTAAGTTGGGGGTTCAGATGCCTACTCCCAGTATCTTCAGGTTATGCGTGTGTGTCAATTTAGATGTATTTTCTTTTGGGACTTTTCTTGTCACCGAACAGATGATGATGAGGCTTCCACCTCCTTTCATTAAAGAAAACTTGTTAAAATGATACAGCAATTAGTGAAAAAGTTAAGGTCTTAATCTCTTAACATTTCTTCTTTTTTGATATTCTTGGGATAAATATCTTAGGAATTTTTTAATAGGAGGCATTTGGTTTATGGTAAGAAAATAGTAAGTTGCAAAATGATAAAGTGAGTGCAGGAAAAATTAATGTACAACTATATGCAAGTGGTCAATTTTTTAGAAACCATATTTAATGAGGTCACTTACATACAATAAAATTTACTGATTTCAAATGTATAATTCTCTGAGTTTTGACTAACATACAGCCATGGAACCATATTACAATGGAGGTATAAAGTATCTTTGTCACACCCAAAAGTTCCCTCGTGCCCCTTTGCTGTCAGTCCTCCCTCCACTCCTTGGCAACCACAAATCTGTTTTCTGTCACTACTATTATGTCTTTTTTAGATTTCCTGTAAGTGGGTTCACACAATCTATAGTCTCTTGTGACTGGCTTATATAAGATAATGCTTTTGAGACTCATCAGCATTGTTGTGTGTGTCAGTTGTTTTTATATATTTTCTTTCTCCGTTATGTTTTTACTACTTTTCTGAATGTGGGAGCACATTTTTTAATAGCATTTTTACATCCTTGTCTGCTAATAGTCTGTTATTTCTGATCTATTTCGATTGATTGGCTTTTCTCCTAGTGGTGGGTCATATGTTCCTGTTTCTTTGAATGCCTGGAAGGTTGTTATTATATCAGACTATGAATTTTTACATTATTGGGTGCCACATTTTGTTGTTTCTTTTTGGTAATTTTGGACTTTGTTGTTGGAATCAATTGGATCCTTTTGAGACTTGCTTTTAAATTTTATTAGGGTGGGTCCAGAGCAACTTTTAGTCTCAGGCTAATTTAGCTCCATTACTAGTGTGATTCCTGTCTGAGGTCTTTCCATTTTGGTGAAAATATAAACTATTGCCATCTCTGTGTGAGCACTGGGAATTATTAGCCTGCTGCCTTCTGGTGGCTCTTCCCTGGCATCTGATGGTTTCTTCTCATAAGGCTCAAGGGGACCCTCCTGCAGGTCACCAGAGTTCTCTCTCTGCTCCTCCGTCCTCTCCTGTACGCTGCTCTGCAAATCCTAGCCAGCTTAGCCTCTCCACCTCCCATCTCTGGTGTCCTCAGCTGACAGGACTAGGTTCCCCCTTCTTGCGCTGCAACCTGGGACCTGCTCGGGGCAGTACGGGGACAATCCTAAGGCGCACTCCTTGTGAACCTGCTCGGGCAGCACAGTCCTGCACTGCCTGTGGCGCGGTGTATGAAAACCATTGTTTTACGTACTTTGTCCAGTTTTCTATTGTTTACAGCAGGAAGGTAGTCCTGTCACTGGTGTGCTACCGTGGCTGGAAGTGGAATTCTCTTCTTCTAAGTGTAGAGTAAGCATATATTGCTCACACTTTTCAAAACACTTAAATATAACAAACACACTTTAATGTCGGCTTTATTATTTGTAAGACGTATGTCACGATTTAAGTAATGTTCCTTAGACTTCGCCCTAAGCTAATTTAGGCTTGAGTGTTATTTTGTGGTCAACTTGAAATTATTTACTTACAGACTCCTTTGTGGGGGGTTATTTGTAGCAAACTTATCTAGAGTAGCTTCTCATCAGTGATGATATGTTAGTATTCTAATTCTAAGGAGATGTGTTAGCCATCTGTATTTCTGGGTGATTGATGTACCTTTCAAACTGTATGACGTTTCTGTTTTTTAAAGTACTGAGTTGCCGGCTCTCTAATATATGTGAGAAAATGGCTGCAAACCTTTTTTTTTTTTTTTTTAATTGAACTTACTGGGTGACATTGGTTAATAAAATTACAGATTTCAGGTGTACAATTCTTATAACACATCCTCTGTCTATTGTATTGTGTTTACCGCCCAAGTCAAGTCTCCTTCCATCACCATGTGTCTCCCCTGTGCCCTCTTCTCACTCCTCCACCTGCCTCTGCAAAACTTTTCTTACTTGAATGTATTTGTGGTGAAGACTGTAAAAGGGTTCTTAGTTCATTGGGAGCTGATCTTTTGAATTTATGGCTTGCTCTCTATTACAGAACAATTGTTTGTACATCTGTTCATTGATTGACCTACCATAATGGCAAAAACAGGCCAAACATTTAGTCAGCAGTTAGAGAAAGGTTCTAATTCATTTGTGCTATAGGAAAGATGAGCAAAGTAGAATTAAAAATCTGATTTTACATATTATAGATATGCTATTGCTGCGTTTTAGGGAAATGGTAACAAAATCAAACTCTGAAGATGAAAATTTGGCTCTATATGGCTCTATTTCTGGTCTTATATGTAAAATGAATCACAGCACAGTTAGTTGGAATGAATATTGAAGTTGAGAGACCTAGATTCTAGCCTCACCTGTGCCACTTATTGCCATGTGACTATAAGCCAGTCACCACATTGTGGGAGTCTCCTGATGTATAAAATGAAGATGAAAATAAATACCATCTACTGCAAAGGGATGGTAGAGTGTTAAATGAGATGGTGTTGAGGAAGATGTTTGAGGATACTTCTGTACAGTGGAAATAATTAGTTGAAAACTTATTTTGTACATTACTATAAAGTGTGCTGTCAACACCTTATATGACAGAATACAAAGCGAGATACGTGTATATTGCATCGAGTTTGCTGTGCAAAAATATGTTGGAAAGGAAGAAACATACCATAAGACTGACTGATAGCATGGACACAGAGACAACTGCAATCTTTTTTCCAGTTCTTTTTTCTTAGTATTATTTTGTTCCCCTCCCCCTTATTTTCCAGGCAAAGAATGTATACAGCAGTTAGCTGAAAATACCAGGTATTTCCGAAGACGTCTGAAAGAGATGGGCTTCATCATCTATGGAAATGAAGATTCTCCAGTGGTGCCTTTGATGCTCTACATGCCAGCCAAAATCGGGTACGTTTTGTTGCAGATTACAGGCTGCTCTCTCTAGACTTAAGGTCTCCTTGAGTGAGACTCGGGCTTAGGTGTTTTGTCAGGGAAAATTGTCATGGCCTCATTATGTTGGCCTTTGTTGCTAGATGTGCCATAGATGAGTGGATATCGATTTGTAAAATACGGTATGTTAACTTGTTCATCTTTTATTGAACAAACATTAGACTTTAATGCGTTCTTCTAGAGGGGTTGAGATAGATCAGCACGCAAAACATAAAAATAAAAATCCCTCTCCTGCAAAGCTTATGTTCTAGTGGTGCAGAGTCAGACAAACATAAATTGATGTGTCAGACAAACGTAAATTCACACGTTAGAAGGTGTTAAGAGCCATGGGAAAAATAGAGCAGATAGGGGGTTGAGCATCCCCTGTGGGCGGGCAGTTTACAATATTAAATGGGGTGGTCAGGGTGGATCTCAATGGGAAGGGAAGAGAGCATCTGAGCCTAAAGGCGCTAAGAGAGTTAGCCACTTGGAGAGAGAAGCTTTGTGCAAAGGCCGGAACGCAGGAGCGTGCTTCTAGGGAGAAGGTGAGGGGAGCCGAAGGGCTGCTCTGCCCAAGGGGCAGGGAGTGAGCCACGAGGTCAGTGCCCGGTTACTGCATCGTTAGCAGGTATGCAGGTTGCACCAGCCTCTTTGTCTTGTGCGAGGCGTCTGTAATGGACGGCCTTGCCTTGGAATAGCTTCCAGTGTAGAACAAAACCAGAAGACACTTGAAAAGTAAATATGAAGTGAACTGATACAATTATTTGCAAAATAATTACATGCATATTTGCACCAGAGATGTAAAATAATTTGGATTTGTGACTTTGGACAGGATCTTAAATGTAATATTGGATAAGGTTTAATTAAAGTCATTAAAATAGCAAATATTTTCATTCATCTTTGAATCCCCAGTGCCCATCACAGTCCCTGGCATTCAGAAACCTCAGTAAAGGTTTAGGAAGTGAGTAGGAAGAAAACTTCCATCAGGGAGCCTGGAAATGTGGTGATTTCAAAGATGATAATGAGGGGGAATTGGGCAGAGGTGCTCACTGAGGGGGAAAAGGAGTTCAGTTTGCAACAGGAAGCCATGGACAGCTGGCCTGTGGCCTTCAGAGGCCATGGTGGAAATGAACCAAGCGGAGGTGTAGGATTTTCCTCGTTCTTGAAATGGAATTGCCATAAATAAACTTGAAGAGTTACTCGGTCTGGAGGACTGACTCAGTCTAGAACTCTTTCTTAAGAGAGGGTTCCATTCTGTCTTAGCGAAGCTGACTGTGTATGTCATAATTAAGACTTAGAGAGAATGAGGCAGAGTTGGAATAAAGCACTGGGCAGTGTGGGAGCACGAGCTGAAGATGCAGGAAGCTCAGGCTCTCTGGCCACAAAGGAAGTGCGTGGAAGGCCATGCGCTGATGCTTGAGGGAGTGCGGGAAAGCTAGCGCGAATGTAACTAGTTACTCACGTAACTAAAACATGGGAGATTTTTAAATTTTTTAAACAAATACTTTAAACAGCTAAGGGAAAAATAAAAAAAGGGATAAGGTTAATCAAAAAGAGAAAAAGACAAAACATAAGTTAGTAAATATAACAAATTTTACATAAAAGTTAGAACTGTGTTATTTAGACAAGACACAGAAGAGGAAATAGGTCACATGCTACCAATTTGCCTTGGGGTAGGGTGTTAAATGAGAGCTGGGTTATCAAGCAGCTGAAGCCTGGGGATATACTGGCTCACAAACACCAAAGGAAATCCTGAATTCCAAGTCCAAGAATTGCCTGTTGTGGGGGGCAGGAGGAAGAGGGTGATTCTCTTCCATTTTACCAGCAGGAAGCTGTCCATGGTAACAACAGATGCTCTGCGTCCTTACAATCTTTAAGACTTTCTTAAAGTACCAAGCCTAATATTTCAAGGACCAGGATTTAAACTCAAGTTCTTTTTGAAGCCTCAGAATCACTCTTACCTGTCTGGGACACTTTAAGGCCTATATTCTTTCACCTTTGTGAAGGAAACCATCTGGGAGACAACCACTTTGAGACTGAATAAAAGAAGTCTTTGTGCAAACTGTCCATTTTTACTTTAAAAGGAGTTAGAGGAAGTTCCTAATAGAAGTCTCCAATGCCTACCACTCAGGAGTTTAGATCATTCATCACTGCAAGATCTATGTACTGTATGCTTTATGAACCTTCCTGGTTTCTTTTCCTTGTCTTCCCTTCACAGTGCCTTTGGACGGGAGATGCTGAAACGGAACATTGGAGTAGTTGTGGTGGGATTTCCTGCTACCCCAATTATTGAATCCAGAGCCAGGTTTTGCCTGTCAGCCGCTCATACCAAAGAAATTCTTGATACTGTAAGTAGATACTTTAACCTTCATATAAATATTCCTTATACTAAGAAGGCCTGATTATCAGGTGAAATTAATCATCTGTTTGACCCTGATGTTCTTTGAACACCTAAGATATTTACAGGTACAATAGGGGAAGGAATATACGATGCTACTTAAGACATTGCTATTTACACACACGCACGCAAAACTGTGTAAGCATTACCCACCAGATCCTTTGTGATCATCGGAGCTCTGGGAATTTTCTGGCTTCGTTTTGTTCCCCTCCCTCCTTTGTTATGGGCTCTACAACTATACAGTTCTCTTTCTACTCTGTCTGTGTCTACTCTAAACTGTCCTGTATGTTTTTTGTCTGTAGGATTTACTCTCTTGAGCCTTCTCTTTCCTTTGCCCTGCTAACTCCTGCTCACTCTTCACATCTCCACTTAAAGGAAACTTGCTCATGGGTATTCCCAAACCCTCTTGCTTGATGTTTTTCCTTGGAATCTTAAGATTTGCCTAGTAAGTTATTCACACCTGTCATTATTTATGGCAATCTTCTCCATTAGATAAATCTTGAAGATAGGAACTAAGGCTATTTTGCTCATTGTCTATCCCCAGGACCTAACACAGTGCCAGACTGATAGAAGAGGCTCCTAATTATTATCAAAATTAATTATTTATGGTTTCTTAATATACACTCATCTCTTGATAGTCTCTTAATATGTTCTTTGTTCACATCTTAGACTTCAGACTTTAAATAAGTATTGTTTTCTAGGAGTTTACAAAGCTCTCAAACATATTTGCATAAAATTCATTAGAGAGCTACTAATCTTAAATAATAACGTGAACATGGGTTTTTAAAATTTCATTATAACAGTTTAATTGACATTTTATATTTCTAAGCAGCTGAGGACTGATTTTTCTTCCTATTTCTACATGGCAAAATTTCTGCGAGTATATTCTTAATCACATTACGACACTGAGAAATTGGATTCAGTTTATTAATACTGTATCTTTGTTTTTCTTTGTCTTAATTTTGATTAAGCCTTTCAGATTTTTTTCAATAGATTCCTCATTTCTAAAAAATTTTACTGGTGAATTTCTGTATTGATTTTTTTAAACCTGGTGATAATCAGCTTTTCTTCCATTCTCCTATTTGGATGTTTAAGAATTGAACATGCCTTTGAAAAATATCAGTGTCATAAGTAATGACTGTAGGAATACACTGTGTCTTCTAACAACAACTTTGGTTTTCTTTTGTTTTTTGACCTTGTGAAACTTATATTTTAGTGGGAGGGGATGGTCAATCAACAAGACTATAATCATAAACTAAATTAATATAGAGGGGTATAAGTACTTTAGGAAAACAAAAGCAAATAAAGGGATATTTAGAGTAGTGGGGACAGAATTTAAAACAGGAAGACATGCTAGGCCCACATTTGAGCATTTGAAAGCAATTAAAGAGTTAGCCAAGTGGATAACCTGAGAAAGAACATTCCAGACAGAGGAAACATCCGGTGAAAAGGCCCTGAGCCAGGAGTATGCTTGACAAGTGTGAGAACACAAGGCTGAGGGGAGAGGAGTAACAGAATGGGTGTTAGGGGTAGAGTGTACAGGGCCTTATGGGCCCTTACAAAGATTGGCTTTTATTGATTGATTGATAAATATGTATTTATTGCCATTTTATTTCAAATTTTTGAACATTTTTTTCTTTTTAAAGAAAACCCTTTAACATTTTTTATAATGCTGGTTTGGTCATGATGAACTCCTTTAGCTTTTTCTTGTCTGGGAAGCTCCTTAATCTGTTCTTTGATTCTAAATGATAGCTTTGCTGGGTAGAGTAATTTTAGTTGTAGTGCCTTGCTTTTCATCACTTTGCATATTTCTTGCCAATCCATACTGTGCCCTTGAGTGTGCTGCTTGTGAAGGTAGTTGGGTGGTGATGCTTTGACGTGGTCTGAAGCTGTCCACTACGGGCATGGGCTCTGGGGCCTCCCAGGAGACGCCCAGGTGGAGGCCAAACCATGAACCAAGGCTGGCTGCTGCTAGTGCCAGGCCTGGGGACACTTAGAGGTGTCGGGACATGCTGAGGCCAGATGATGCTTGTTTGGGAGATTTCAGGAAAATCTGAAGCATAATCCTTGACAGGCCATTTGTATGGAAACAGCTTGGGTGGGCTCACAAGTTGGGTCAGGTGATAGCCAGGTTGATGGTGTCTCATATATGATCCCTACCTGTTGGTTCTGTGAGAGGAGGACTCATCAAAGGAACAATGGTCTCTGCCTGCACTTCTGTCTCAGAGAAAGATGCCCCCCACAGTTGTCACCCCTGATGCTGAACAATTCAGTTCCTCCCCATATGCCTTAGGGTCCTTTCAAGCTGCTGCCCCAGCCCTGGAGCTCAGAGGGCTTGAGTCTGAGTAAGTCCATGCAAGGGCACTTTAAGTGCCTAAGACTCCAGAAGTCCTTTATCTCACTCGGCCACAATCCCTGCTGGTTTTTGCAGCCAGAAGTTATGGGGACCTCTCTTCCTGGCTTTGGAACCCTGGGCTGAGGGGCCTGGTGTGCCACTGGGACCCCTTGCTCCTCAGGGAACCTCTGTGGTAGATATCCCTCCTGATTTTTATCTGCCTGTGTGGGTGTGGGACCAGCCTGTCCCTCACCTCTACTTCTCTGCCCCTCCTACCAGTCTTGATGTGCATTCTTTAACTCCCTAACTGTAGGGCTTCCAGTGAGCCAGATTTCGGGTGGTTCTGAATTTTGGTGATTCTGGAGTTTATTTGTCATTTTAATGTGGTTGTGGGAGGAGGCAAATACTGCATTTACCTATGCTGCCAGAAGTTCTAACAACAACCCTGTCTGCTAAGAACTATATGGATTCGTGAAAGAATTTAGGTGTAACCAGGTATCTAAGCAGATTTCTGTTGCCACCAAATATGCTTGCCAGTTGAGAATTCTAATTCTTTGCATAAGATGCACTTGAGGGAGTGTTTGACTTTGCCTTCCATTTAGTTTTTTTAAAGCATGAAGTGCATTTTTTGAAACCATAGGTTTGTTGAAGTCATTTTGTCTTCCATTATATGGAACTAAACATGAACATTATGAGATACAAATGAATTTTTGTATAGTAATAGGCCTTGTGACACAATTCTATATAAAGAAAATGCTATAAAATTAACCAAAAAACCCCTCAACCTGCTGGAGCTAATTTGATCTTTCATCCTGCAAGAAACACAAAAATTAGTGTGTTTCTGTATTTTTGTGTTTCACAAAAAAAACACATTAATTTTTGTGTTTCTGTATACCAGCACTGAACAAATGAGATTAAGAAAATTTCATTTGCGATAGCATTTGAACATTGCTAAAAGAAAAGAAAGAATGGCTTCCATAGGGTAACTCAGTTGGTTAGAGTATCGTCCAGATACTCCAAGGTTGTGGGTTCGACCTCTGGTCAGTGCTCTTACAAGAAGTCAATGAGTGCATGAATAAATGAAACAACAAATTAATGCTTCCCTGTTTCTTTCTTTGTCTCTTTCTCAAAAACCAATACATTTTTTAAAAAATTTAAAAAAGATAAGACTTTGATAAACGGAAAGACATCCCATGTTTGTGGGAAGATTTAATATTGTTAAGATGGCAGTGTAGTAAGGTCCATAGATCCAGTGCAATCCCTATCAAAATCCCAGTGGCCCTGTTTACAGAAATGGAAAAGTTGAGCCTCAAATTCATATGGAACTGTAGGGTCCCCAGATAGCCAAAACAGTATTAAAAAAGAAAATTAAAGTTGGAAGACTCAAATTTCCTGACTTCACTCCATTGGGAAAAAAACCCACACAAAACAACTTACTCCAAAGCTACAGTAATTAAAAACAATGGGGTTCTAGCATAAGGACATACATGTAGACCAATGGAATAGAATTGAGAGTCCAGAAATAAACCCAAGCATCTGGCCAATTTTTTTTTTTTTGTTTTTAAATCCTCACCTGTGTATTCGTTCATTGATTTTAGAGAGAGAGAGAAACATATGAGAGAGAAATATCAGTCTGTTGCTGACTGGGGATCAAACCCACAACCTAGTTATGTGCTCTGACTGGGGATCAAAACCACAACCTTTTGTTGTATGGGATGATGCTTCAACCAACTGAGCCATCTGGCCAGGGCACCAGTTGGTTTTTAATAAGGGAACCAGAGCTCCTCAGTGGGGAAAGAGTAGTCTCTTCAACAGATTGTGCTAGGCATCTGGATAACCCTATGCAAAAGGGTGAAGTTGGGCACAAACAACATAGGTGAACTTTGAAAGCATTATGTTAAGTGAAAGAAGCCAGGCACAAAAGACCACATTTACCCAAAATGCCCAGAAAAGGCAAATTCCTCGGGGCAGAATATAGATTGGTGGTTATCAAGGCCTGGGGTGGGGAGGCATGCGGACTGATTGGTAGGAGTACGGGGTTTCTTTTTTGAGGTGACATGCTTTAAAATTAGGTAGTGGTGAAAGTTATACTACTCAGGATACACTAAGAAGCATTGACTTGTATACTTTAAAAAGGTGTATTTTGTGGCATATGAATTATATCTCATTAAAGTGTTATTTTTAAAAATGAGAAGGGCAGGGCTACTGGCTCATGGGCACAGACAGCTCTCCTAAAATACTCTCTTCCTAAAGGACCGTAGTCAACCCTATAATTAACACTTTTTTTCCTAAGAACCCCTCTTACCATGTGACCCAGAGCTTTGCTGTAGACTACTTGTTAACAAGTGGTGGTCCTTGTGATGTTTCCTTATTTCTGATTTAACCAGGTAACCCCACATAATGGCCAGAAGTTTGTAGTTGTAATTTTATCTTTTGTGTAAATAAAACTTACTCATCTGAAGTATTTGGTATGAGATCGGAGGAAATTTTGCTATCGACACCCCTTTCAGTTCTTGTGGCTTTATTTATGTCTCTATTCATTTTCTTTTTTACATTGATGAAAAAAATACTAAGTTCTTAAGTCAGAGTTTATAAATGTGCTCTACCTTGTGATCTTAGTTGTGTGTTGTTTTAAATTAATAAATCCTGTATTAGAGGTCAGGAGCATAAATGGCTAATGGGTTCTCCCAGCTGAAATTCAACCTTAAATGGTTTTGATATGGAGCTCTCAGTTTACCCTCTTCCTCAGATGTATCACTGCTCTGATAGAATATTGAAGTCCAGCTCTTATGTGCTTTTTATATTTTTCACATTTGGAGTGAAGCATATTTTGTCCGATGCTACAATAAATAAGGAATACCGTTAGTGGTTTTTTCCTCTCTACACACGATTTTTAAAAGTCAAATTTAAGAACCAGTAAATGTGTCTTTCTACTAGTAATGAACTGATTCCTTTTTCTGAAATAGGTGTACGTTTTCATATGGAATTATAACTGTAAGAGTGGACAGAGATGTATATGCTGTGATGAAAATTTGGAGAGTTACGGGTTCCACTGCCCACCTGTCTTAGTCTAATGAGATGGTGTCATGGATAGAGCCCTTGTCTCCTAAGCCAGGGCTCATTCATCTGAGATTTGTTGTTAGATCTGCTAGGTTAACCTCCAGAGGTGCTGGAGAATTGCCATGAATTGCAAACTCCATTCTTTGACTTGTGCCAGGTACTTTAATAGAAAGCTTTAATGCTCTGGCTGGTGTGGCTCAGTAGTTAAGTGCCAGCCTGCGAACCAAAAGGTCGCCAGTTCAGTTTCCAGTGAGGGTACAGGTTTGGGTCTCAGGTCAGGTCCCCATCTGGGGGCGTGCAAGAGGCAACAGATCAGATCGATGTATCTCTCACACATCGATGTTTCTCTACCTCTCTTTCTCCCTCCCTTCCCCTCTCTCCAAAAGTAAATAAATAAATCTTTTTTTAAGAAAAGGAAAGCCATAGAATCCAGGATTTGAAAATGTTTGCTGTCTTTCATGGATTTTTCTGAGAGATAGCGGGGCTTAGCTATCCTTCCAATACATTTTTTCTGAGAAATTCTGAACACACGTCCCTTTCTCATATTGGAATTCTCCATTGCGACTCTGTGTGCTGCTTTTTGGAAACGTTAACTCTGTGAGCTGTGAGTCATACTTTGCTGTATGTATGTTATACCTCAAGAACTTCTCTTGTAAAAATACACACAAGAAACTATCTGTGGGCTGCCTCTGCCAGGAAGGACTAGGGTGGCAATCAGGACGAGACTTACCACCTCATAACTTGCCTTAGTGTTTGAGTGTTTTGTAAGAAACATACTTTCTTTGAAAAATAAAGGGCTAATTTCACAGAAAAGTTATATTGAGACAATTATAGTTTTGTTGGGAAGATGAGGTAGAGATAATCTCTCAGGTTAGAATTTTGGAGTTCAAATCCTAGACCGCAGCACAGTCCTTTCCTTGCTCGCCCCGCACCCGCAGCCAGCCCGGTACCCACAGAGTCCCTTCCGCACGGCTCACGCTTTGTCTCACTGAGTTGCTGCAGCAGCCCCCCTGGGGACTCACTCCATCTTGCATCTAGGAGCATCTCGACGCAGACTTCTCGTCAGTTTTCTATAGCATCATAATGCAAAGAGCAAGTACTGAAGTATGAGAGGAGAGGATGACAGATCGTGGCTGGCCTAGCAAGCCCAGGGCACATACTCCCCCTTCTGCCAAGCATAACATGCTTTGATGAATTATACCCTTCATCCTGCATATCTGCTGACCACAACCCTTTATTCGTGGTCAGCCTCGTCCTCGCTCAGAAAGCAGCTCTTCCCACAGCTCTCCTGTAGTCTAAGCAGAGTAACTGCACTAGACACAGGCAGTCCCACCAAAGAGTCATCTTGCCCCAATTGTTTTTAGAAAAGTAAAGTTCCAGGCTTGCCTGCATCGCACCTGCTCTGACTCACCTCTGCTCTGTCTTTGTAGGCTTTAAAGGAGATCGATGAAGTTGGGGACCTGTTACAGCTGAAGTATTCTCGTCATCGGTTGGTACCTCTGCTGGACAGGCCTTTTGATGAGACTACGTATGAAGAAACAGAAGACTGAGCCTTTTTGGTGCTCCCTCAGAGAAACTCTCCCTCACCCAGGACAGTGTGTGGCCATTCCGAGCCAGTTCCAGGAACCACACTTCTGTGGCCATCTCATGTGAAAGACATTTTCTCCACTACTGATGGTGGCCACCTCCACTCTGAGTGGCATTTTGTAAATAGTGGGGAAAAAAAAACTGCTTTACATCTTCCTTTGCTACATTTCACCTTTTAAAAAAGGTGACTCACTTTGCTTTTTTGTTCATTAAAAAATGTTTTATTTTATAACTATTTTACTTGTGAAATCACGCTGACCCCGCCTGCTAACGTGCAGGCCGTCACCCTCTCGCAGTCGCCTCGCAGGCCTGGGCCCCCCGGCGCTCCCGCTGGCCCGGCCCCACGGCCTCGAGACCCTCCTGGCCCACCTCTCTGGGGAGCAAGTGCCTTCCGCTTACTTCCACCCCGGATCGGAGGTTGCCGACCTTGGAATGCTTATTTAACCAGTCAAGTAATCAACCAAAGTGTTCTCCTTTTTGTTTTAAGCTTAGCCTTTTAAGGAAAACAGTGAATGCTAACTGTGCTGAAATTCCCCCTCGTTGTGTAACCCCCCTGGTCTAGAGCCTCCTGGGGCTTGGTCTTGTGCCAGTTTCTGGAATGGAACGGGGACTTACTCCTTCTTCATCAGATGTTTCTCCATGATGGTCACTGTCGGAGGGCATGTCCGCTTTCTCGATTCTTCCCACGCATCAACCTAATAATCCAGCCCCCTATTTAGAACAGTTAGATCGTTTTAAAAGCATCGACATCCCACCCCAATCAGACCTCTTTGGTGAAGCTGACTTGCACTTCACTATCCTGTGTACAGAGCTGCTCGAGAAATGACGTGACGTGCGCTCCTGCTGGGGTGAAGGGCGGAGCAGCGCGGAGGAGCTGATTACTGCTTGTGGGTCAGCTGTGGTTTGCTTCTTACTGCTTTCTGCTTTTCAGAATCGTGACAGCCTCTGCCTGGGTCTGGGTCCAAATTAGGATTTAAACTGATAAAGGCAAATACTATTGGTAAATCCTCTGCTCAGAAGTCATTTGTCATGTTCCTGCTTAAGGATTAAAGCTATTGGCTTTAGAAGTTGACCCATTTAAATATTACGCTTCTGAGCATTAGTTCTTTTTCTTTTTTTAATTTTTTTAAAATTGATTTTATAGAGGAAAGGAGGGAGAGAGAGAGAGAGAGAAGCATTGATTTGTTGTTCACTCATGTAGTCATTGGTTGATTCTTATATGGGCCCTGACTGGGGATCGAGTTCACAACCGTGGGGTATCGGGATGATGCTCTAACCAGCTGAGCTACCCTGCCAGGGCTGAGTGCTAGTTCTCTTTATTCTTGACGTTCTAAGACAATTCTAACCTGACATTGGGGGTTTAGGGTTTCCCTTGCCTTCGATTACCTTTTTGTTTGTTTGCTTTAACACTTATCTCTTTGCCAAACTGGGATCCTCTCTTTTGACTCTTTTTTTGTCCATACCGGGTAGGGGGCTTCTTTCTGAGAGCTTATACTGCTTGACCAAAGAACAAATCGGAAACTCACCATGTTAAAGTTTTTCTGTTAACCAAAGTGTAAGTACAAAGAGCTTTTGACTTTGTCGTACCCAAGATCAGCTTGTCTTTCAGTCACCATCAGGTACTATAGGGAAGGACTGGGAACAGAATGGAAAAGAATTCTGTGGAAGTATTTTTGCACGTTTCTATTTTTGAAACCACGCCTTTTATTGGTAAGAATTCTCAGACCAGATTCTCTTGGGCATCTTATCATGAGCTGTGGTATGTTTGCACTGCCACTTGTAGTGGAAGATATAAGCAATATTATTTGTGAAGTTTTGTTTTCATGTCTTAAGTTAGTTATCTTTGGTCCCTCTCAGCATCTGAGAGCCTTAAGCCCTTGAAATAGTCCAAGGTTTCATTTTAGTTTTTTACAGAATAGCAAAGGGTAAATAAAAGAACCAAGCAGATATGCAGGGACTACACTTAGCATGTACAAGTTGCAGTAAGAAAGAAATTGTGGTAACCAAGTGAAGAGTCCTATAAAATAAAGTCCATTGCCAACCTTTCCTGCACATCTCGTTTCTCACCATAGAACCCGCTAGAATACCAGATGGCTTTTGCGCTGCAGTTACTGTGTAATGGTGTAGGGTTTGCAAAAGTCACAAACTTTAAGCAACAACTTACCTGCTAGTCTTTTTATGTTGGCTTGCATGAAGTCACTGCAATATAAAATATCAGTTCGTATGGGCATTTAAAAAATTATATATCACTTTGCTGGCACCGTTATTTCAGGATAAGTGTAGTTAAACTACAGGTTTATTTCGAAGAAACATAAGTCCTGTGATCTATCCAGAACCTCTACTTTCTAGAGGACAAACCATTATTCACACGGTTGTCTCCTCTTGAAACTGCAATATAAATCTAGGGTCCAGTCATGTAACAGGTACCATCATTTAACCAAGGACTTGGGGAAATACAAGTGTACATAATTACAGTCACTGGGAATGCATAGAAACCTGGGACGTGTAAGTATTGTGTAGCACGTGGTTTAACACAGCCTGATTAGAGAATCTGAGGGGATTCACACACGCACCGGCTAACCGTGACCACCACAGTGATCACCAGAGTCCGTCATTACAGGTGTGATTAGTGCTCGTTACATTTTCTCACCCTCTTTATTTAGCATTGCCTTGATCCCTTTCAGGTTTATAAGACCCTTTTCTGCAGATCACACCAGAAAGCAGAAAACCTATAATGAGGTGACACAGAAATCACACACATGGAATGGAGCAGGTAAATGCTGAAAACGTTCAGGAGCTTTGGAGCACTTTTTAAACTTTTTGCTTTGCTTTGGAAAATTTCCTCTCTTTATAAAACATTCTAGTCCCCAGAACCCCAGAGTGCTGCTTGCTTGCTTTTTTGAAGAACTCGGCCTCTTAGTCCTTCAGTCACTCTCTTAAACTCTAATGACAGGGTGAGGATTTCAGATGGCGGAACACGCTTCTTCCTCCTGTGGTCACGGAAGGTGAGCAGGAATACCCGACACCACTGCTGTGGGCTGTGTGCTTGCCTCGCACTCTCGCAGAGGCCAAGGGATCGAGTAGCCGCCCGAGGACTTGTCTCTAATCCCTCCCTCCTGTATTTGGCCTGCCTCTACCTCCTGGTCCTTGATTTGTAGAATTCCAACTCCAGAGATAACTGATCTGTCTGTGGTGGTGCTGTGTTTGGACCATTCCTAAATCAGATTCTTTGTTCTCTTTGTATACACAGCCATACGTTTCAGGAGGAGACAAGGAACTACTTCCTTCCCTACTGAGGGAGCCTGCATCTAAACTTAAGACTAGTACAGTCCAGTTGAATACTGTAGTGTATAATAACACCACTTCCTTCCCGTTAGTGAAAACCAGGAGGAAGAATGGCTTACATGCATGGAGGGATTTCCTGGTTTCTCAGAGAAGGGGAAATAAAGTGATATTTACCACTACCTCCCTGTTTTCTCCCCTGACCCTCCCATTCTAAGTTGATGAGAATGTCTGGCCCCAGGTCATACTGGACTGAGCAGCATCACAGAACTTCTAGCAATGCCACAGGCAGGGAAGAAACAGAATTTGAGTAATTCTTGTTTTGTAAGACTGTGTAAGGATGTGACAAAACCACCTACAGAAAGTTCAATACAAATGACGGTCACCTGGTTCCCTAAGAATTGCTGTGCCCTAATTCCCAGGGTGTCTTTCCTGTGTGTCCTACGTAAGCCAAAATGGGTTTTAATATAACTCATGTGGGTAGGGAGTGGGGGAGGTGGGGGTTTTCCTTCTGTCAACCTTCATGAAGGTCGAGAACTGGTGAGCGTTTCACATGGGTAAATCAGCGCATAGCAAAAGAAGTGGTGAAGGAGTTAGAAAATCAAGGGATTCGTGGTACTTGAGCAGCTGTTTGCTTAAATGCGGAACAGGGAACAGGAAGTCGGTGTTCTTGCTGCCTGTCACCGCCAGAACCAATAAGACGGGGGTTAAATCTCTATGGACCCTCTATTCAGATAGTGGGCAACCTGAGAATATGGCGGGTTATGTACCCTAAAAGAGTGTCTTACATTTCATTTCAAACCAGCCTTTTTTATAAGGAAGAAAAAATTTAGGTAAGGGGTTTGGAATTCAGGAAAAAGGTTACTCAGCTCAAAGCTGCAGTCCCGCAAATTCGCTAGCATCCTCTCATCTGTTGACTGGTGATTATCTGGGTCCTGGGCGGTAGGGATGTCTCTCCCCAGAACCCAGTGGCTCAGATACCATCTTGATTGCTTGCAGCCCCCACCTGGGGCACAGAGGTCGAATTCCCTGTGGTCTCCAGGAGTCAGGGTGAGTCATATCCTCGGTTCCTGAAACAATAGCTTTTTACATTCATTCATTACTAAGCTTATTTACTACCTAAAACTACAATTTTTCAACTCTCAAGTTCCCCCATCAAATGCAGCCCCAGAACATACTGACGTGTTGCTACCAGTTTATAATGGAAGCTCAGTGCCCAGCGGGCATCTTAACCCATTCAGCCAGTTAGTCAAACTAACTCCTTGTGGAGAGAAGCATGTCTGTTCTCTCCACAGCTTTGTCCTCATGAAACGTAGTGTCCAGGCTCCTAGCCGACTGCCCTGTGCCGAGATCGCCAAGTTAGAAGGCTGGCTTCCTGTCTTGTCTTAGTGAAGAACTGCTAGGACCAGCCGGTGATCCATTACTTTTCATTGTATGGAAAATGCTGTTGCCCCTCTTGTTGTTTCCAGTGACCTGTATTCCAGACATCTTTTGCTATGGATGGAAGCTTTTCTAGGGAGGAAACCAAAGGGATTAGCTAGAGCCCTTATGCAAATGTTTATTCAAGTCCTTTGTGGTGAGTCTGCAGGTATCACACTCCCAGTCCCGCCTTGGGAGTGGCTTGGTTGGGGAGCCGTGGGCAAGGTCTTGCTTACTGCACAGTACACATGATAAATGGCCTTAAACTGTGATTCTTTGTGGTATGATGTGATATAATAAACTGACCCTAAAGAATGCATTGGCTCTTAGACTGCAGTTACTGTGTTTTTAATGAAGCAATACCCAAAAACTCTGTTCTTTTGGAGCAGTTGTGGGGAGGTTGAAAGAAAGGTAAAAATAAGACCAATACCTTGAGATTGTGCTAAATGTCCTGCCTGGTTGCCATCTGCATGGATAAGTGGATCCTTCCATGTACACAGGCCCTCGAGCCAAGTCTGAGTCTGCTTTTTCCAACACAGTTCCCAAGTTTTTTGTGCATAGCTGGGCCCCTTGGCCAGCCTTCCAAGGGAGTGTGGGACACGTCACTGACTAGGGTGGAATGGTGACTTGTCAGCACCCTAAACCTTAGGTCTTAATTCTGTGTTGTTAAACCAATGGTGGGAATGACAGAAAGCATCCTCGATGGTCCTTCACAGGATACTGGCAAAATCACTGGCTTCAGCCAGTGCCCCCACTGTCTTGATCCCTCCTGTAGACAATTAGCTGACATTAAGAGAAGGGGGAAGGAGAGAGAATAGGAATAGAGAAATAGCTCATGGGGAGCTGGTATCATTTTGTTGGCCCCTATTTTTCCATTGCCCAATTTACCTGTGACCTAGCATTTGCCAGAGGTGCTGTGATAACCCCTCTCCGTTGCTGCGGTGCTCTCATAATCTGAGAAAATGAGAGAAGGGGGAAATGTCAATAAAAATTTGAAGTGTTAAAATGTTGCTCTTTCTTCCTTACCCCCTTCTCCCTTTTTTTGGCAAGTGATTTTTTTTTTCAACTTTGTTAGATGACTGAGAAGCTGTACAGTGGGTATGAGTTTGAGGCGTGTGAGTTTGGAGAGTGCATGTCAAGAACTCAAGGGTGTCAGAAGGGAGGAGAGGCTGGGTGAAAAAGATGAAGGGATTAAGCAAAAACAAACAAGCAAAAAAATACCCACAGACAAAAAACAGTATGGTGATTATCAGAGGAAAAGCGGGGCAGGGGAGGGAGAAGGGGGTAACGGGGAATCAACCGGAAAACACTGAGAGCCGTTTCCGTGCCAGGCACTTCACTGGGCATTACCAATAACGGCAGCCCACAAACATGGTTCCTACTTTTTTGTAAACAAGCAAGCACATGAACACGCCCATGTATCGTTTTACAAACTGCTAAGTGCTATGAAAGAAAAGTAAAGAACATGGTAAAAGATTGTAAGTAGTGTCTGGTTTAGACAGGGCTGATACAGAAAACTCTTCCAAAGAACAGAGGGTCTGAAAGACAGTGCGGCCCATGCTCCCCGAGCAAAGGGGAGATGGGAGGCGGCCAGGGAGGAGGCCCGGCTGCACCTCACAGGCCCGTCTGTCCTGCTGAGGACTTTTGTCCGGTGCCCTGGGGCAGTGAGAAGTTTAAAGCGTTGAAAAAGGCACTGACCAGATAACATTTATATGGAAATGCCAAGGACCTAGGGTAGCCAAAACAAAATATTGAAAAAGAGCTTACACTACCTGATTTCAAAATTCTACAGACCTACAGTAGCTAAAAGACTGCGCAGTTGGCATTAGGATACAGAACAAAAGAACAGGCTAGAGAGTTCAGCAACAGACCCACATATGTATGGTTAGTTGAGTTTTGACCAAAAAACCAAGTAAATTGAAAAGGGAAAGTATAGTTAGCAACTAATAATGATGCTGGAACAGCTAAATATCTAGAGGAAATGACCTTTGTCAACGTCCAAACCAGAAGAGAATTTTTAGGAGTTCATTTGAGCCAAACTGACCATTGTTGGGAAACCCTCAAGGAATTGAGAAAATGTTCTGGAAAGTGGCTGGTCATCAATCAGCTCATTTTATACATTAGAATCGAAGGAAGAGCGGAGGAGAAATCCACTGGCGGCAGATTAAGGGGGCAGGAAAACAAAGGGGAAATCTCTGCGACGGGATAAAAAGTACAGCAGACACACATACTTGCTTTACATTGGAGGGTACAGGATAGTTAATAAGTGACATGCACAGCACAGAGATGGTATTTGGGGAACAAGATAACAACGTGGGATTCTGTGATCTCAAGCACTGGTGGGAAAGTTGTGCCCTGAGGGTCCAGAAAAGGAGAGATTACTGTGACATATCAAAGGTATGTTATCTTAGATGCAAAAAGACAGTAAATAGGCAATGACCTGCAAAGTTAGTTAGGAATTTGTATGTTCAGACTATCCTACGTGGTAACTTTCGGTCTGTGAGTTTGTAGAGTCTACAGGCCGACCTCCCCTGAGCTTGAGAGGTTTAGTATGTGGGCCATTTTTCATCCACAGCTTCAACCCTTATATCATACACAATAACTCAAAACAAGTCATAGATCTGAACATAAATATGAAACTTCTAGGAGAAAATACAAAAGGAAATATGTGATTTTGGGTTAGGCAACAATTTCTTAGGACAGGAAAAACATGGCAAAAAAATTGATAAATTTCTGGTCAACATGGAGTCCTAGGTAAACACAGCTCACCTCCTCACATAACCACATCAAAATTACAGCTAAACTACAGAACCATTACTCAGAATCATCAGAAATCAGGTTGAATGGAAATCTGACACCTGTAGAATTAAAAAAACCACATCCCACCTGATACAGAGAGATCTGATCAGATTATGGGGGAGGAGAAGGGAGGGACAGTAGGAGGAGCCGGCTGAGGCAATGCTTAGCAGTCTAGGGCGGGATTGGCTGAGAAGCTGAACACCTCCAGAGCACGAGGAAATAAAAAGAGGGTTGGCTCCTGGGCTCTCTGGCCCCTGGGCTGACGCTCCCTGACTCTCGGGGACCTGCCTTGAGGATGCCTAGGATGCTGGATGATCATGCTGCAGCTGCCTGTGTTTCCCAACGGACAGTATTTTGGATGGGAAGGAACTCCAGGCACTGCCTAGGATTGGGCTGGCCTGGCAGAAGGTGGCAGGTTTATTCTTTGGGTGTTCTAGAGGGGACGAGGTCTTAGACTTGCGGTTGGGGAGGAGGGGCGGTAAATGATAGGAGAACCTAGGTGTTAGAGTTTAGCCTTAATCGATAGGCTTAAGTGACTAATTCTTGTGGAAAGCTGTTATTCCAAAATTGTGACACTTTTGAATAAAGATTCCTTTATCACCAAAGCTTTGCCTCAGGAATTTTGCCTAGAGGGTGAGGGTGAAGGTGGGCAGCAGGACCCCAACTAGCTGTTCGGTAACACATCCAGATTGGTAGAAAGGGTGGGGATGCGGAGACACTAAACAGGCTGGTCCCACACCCACGTAAAAATTGGGGAGGGATTATTTCGGGAGTGAGGAGTTCCAGCCCCACACCAGGACCCCCAGCCCAAGGATCCAATACCAGGAAGATAAGTCCCCATAACTTCTGGCTGCAAAATCCAGTGGGGATTGAGCTGGTGGAAGAAACTTCTAGTCTCAAGCAGTTCCTCTTAAAGAACCCACACACGGACTGACTTAGACTCCCTCTGAGCTCTAGCCCCCAGGTAGCAGCTTGAAAGGCACCAGTGGCACACAGGGAGGGACTGAACTGTCTGGCAACAAGCCAGAGCTGAGGGACAGCTTTCTCCCAGACAGAAAGGCAGGCAGAGCCCATTGCCCCTTTTCTTAACCCTCCCCTCACAGAGCCACAGGTTTGAGAATATACCATACTTAAATCAAATTAGGCTCAGGCAGCATCCTGATCTCCTTCCTAAAACAAGTTTTTCTGTGTGAATCTCTTGGGCAGGAAAGCGAGAGGATCAAAGGTCCTCTCTCTCTTAATAAACACAATCAATATCCCAAAAAGGCAGCTTCAGGATGGCAAAACTTTGGCTCCCTTCAATCCTCGCATGTGAGTCTCAGCCTAGTTTTTGAAATTTTCTGAGGACACTCTGAGAAAACTAGGTGCAAAGTGGCAGGTGTTTCTCTGGTCCCCGCATCTAGCAGGGGAGCTGGGAGAGCCTGGGGGAGTTACTTCCCAGGCCTTCCTCCCCAAGCAAACCTACCTGGAGTCATCAATAAACATTTGCCCGAGATCTGAAGGGTCCCCCGTCGGGCTGCAGCGCATCCCTCACCCGCGAGGCCCTGGCTGTCTGCGTACCCCAGCGCCATCGTCGGAGTGCCCACGGGGAGGGCGACCCCGCAGGACTCCTAGCCCGGGCTGAAAAACGTCTGCCGGCGCGCTGCACATTCCGCATTACAAGAATTCGCTTGGGGCTGCGACGGCCACAGCGGCGGGCACGGAGGGCGGGGAGGAGGCCAGATCAAAGAAAGCGCCGAGGGGCCAGCACTCCAGGGAGGACGAGGGACATCCTGGGCGCTGACCCCGAGAGCAGAGCGAGCGCCCCTCCCGGGGCTCAGGCAGGAGAAGGCGGCGCGCCGCGCGCCCCCGCCCCGTGCGCCCCAGCGGCCAGGCCTGAGCCACCGCCCCCGAACTTCCCGCCCCTAGAGGAGGCGAGGCCGGGACCCAATAAACTCGCCAGAGCGGGCTGCGAGGAGAGGAGGCGTCGGGCGGAACGGCTTCGGAGAGAGACGATGCCTCGGCTCCCCGGCAGAGCGTGGCGGCTCTTCGGCGTGGTGCTGCTGACGGTGCTGCTGGCGGAGGGGCGGGGGCTCCCCGTGAAGAAGCCGCGGGGTCCCTGGCTCTGGCCTGGGAGCCACGCGAGGCTGGCGAAGGTGAGCGGCGGGGAGCGGGGCTGGGACGCGAGCAGCGACCACCGGGTCCAGGGGCTGGGCCGGGCGAGGGCCAGGTGCATGGGGCCTCAGGATCCCCGACTCCCCGGGCTGTGTAGTGCGCGAGCCTGGAGTGAAGCGTCCCTTCTGTGCTGAGTGAGGAGCGCAGACACCCAGGAACGGCCAGCTTCCAGTCGTTGCCTCTCCCTGAACTCACTTCTGCAGACGCTCTGTCCAGGTGCGCGCTCCGAGGGTGCGCAGGCGGGAAAGGAGCCTGCGCTTGGCGCCTGGCGCTTTGCCGAGCGGCGGATCGGACTTGCTGAGGTTCAACGGTCAAGGTGCGGCCTCTTAAGTTAAATCTGCGAAGGATTTGAGTGCCCTTCGGCAGAAATTGAGACAAACAGTAAGTGGAGTCCTCTAACTTGCTGGGTATGAGTGGTCCGCCAGGGACCTTTATATTATTAGGAACTTGGAAAAGCAGAAGAGGTCGCCAAGACGTCGGGGGAGCACTTTCTGGGTGGCCTGTGAGTGGGCCTTGGAGTTGGGTGTAGGACAGGAGTGAGACGTTAAAGAGTGGCGCTAGCCATGGAGAGAAACCGTAGTCTGTCGAAACCTGTGTCTGCTGTCACCAGGGGTCAACAGTCCAGCCGTGCCTCCCTGGACTGGAGTGGACCGTTCATCCCCTTGGGGATAAAACCTGCTGGACTTGTTCCAAGGTATGCAGGAGCGGGCCTGTGTGGCAGGGGGTCCAGCCACTCCCCTGCGCTGAGCTGTTCTTGGAGGAGGGCAAAACAGCTCTTCCCATTTTGCAGATGAGGACACTGAGGGGCGCAGACGGGTGTGCGGGGCGCAGAGACTGGTGAGTGAGAGCCGAGCTGGGGCCGCGCTGCCAGTGCCCAGGCTGCCGAGGCCCTCCAGAGGCACAGGGCCGAAAGGGCCCCTGGCTGCACTGAAGGGGGTCGGTGTGGACCGGGGTCTGTTGCCTTTTTTTCATTATTGCCCTCTGAAGGAGCCTTTCGGACAAGTGTTCCAGGGCCCCCCACCATGGAAGTTTACTAACACAGATGCTTTATGTACTATGGCCCTTAGGAGTGTTCCAAACCATTGTAGCATCTAAGATCCTTTCCTGGCCCCTGAGAGCCAATTTTTGTCCCTGTTGGAAGTACATCCCTTAAACTACAGTCACTACTGTGTTGTGGGGTTGTGTAATTCTTTGTTGCTCATGTGGGATGTTTGGCAGCGTCCCTGGCCTCTACCTACCCGAAGCCTGTAGCAGCCGCTCCCTGACAGAGCCAGGCTTTGCCAAATGCTCCCGGGAGGGCCCCCCATCCTGAGAGAACCATTGCTGTGGACAATCCCGAGCAACTGAGCAGCCTCTGACCCGTCCCCTCTCCTAACTGGAGATGACAGTGGTCATAAAATTAATTAAACTGGCAGTTTTTTTCTACTCATTTGGCAGATATACATCCTATGTTAGTACTTAATGGCTTTGTATTGTAATTATTTTCAGTAGGTTTGCCAGATCTTTCCCCAAGACCAGCCTAGAGGATGAGTTATTTCAGAGCCAAAGTCGTATCCCCAGCCCCAGCAGGGCCTGGCAGAGCCCTCAACAGCATTTTTTTTTAAAAGATTTATTTATTTATTTTTAGAGAGAAGAGAAGGGAGGGAGAAAGAGAGGGAGAGAAACATCGATGTGCCAGAGAAACACTATTGGTTGCTTCTCGCGTGTCCCAACCTGGGGACAGTACCCATAACCCAGATGTGCTGGTGACCCTTTACTTTGCAGGAAGGACAACATCCAACCAACTGAGCCCCACCAGTTAGGCCTCAACAACATGTTAAAGCAAATTAGAGTCACGGAGGGAAAAAAAACCAACAGAGCTTGGAGCCCACGGCCTCGGGTTTTAGTCCCAGGAGGTCAATAACTCATGTGTGACTCACCTTGGACAATTTCCTGACATTTAAAATGAGGGGCTAAGTCATCCCCGTGGTCCTGTCCAGCTCTAACGTTGTTCCACGAGTCTGTGTGATGTGTTTTAAAGCTGTTACACATCAAAGCTGTTAGCTAGGGAGTGGTCGAGGGAACGCAGACTGCCATTCTAAGGGCCTCGCGGGATATGTCAGAAATAACCGACCAACCCAAAGAGCTTTATGAAGAAACTGAAGAACATAAACTCCCCAAACCTAAAGGTATCGGATGGCTGAAGGGGAGTGAGCATTCCCCGGGCCTTGCAGAGGTGTCAAAGACTAACATCAAAGACTTCACATGATGTTATTTCATTGTCACACCATGACTTGAGCATCGTGCCCATTTTCCAGATGAGAAAATTGAGGCACAGAGATGTTAAACCTAGCTGGGATTGCAAGCCAGATCTATCATTTCGAGAGCTACACTGGGCACCTGATGGGTCTATCGTTGCCTGTCATGCCCCCGCCTGTTCATTGACACCCTTGAAAAGTCTTGAAATTATTGGCATCATGAACAAAATATGCCGTCCCTTCTCTGGGCAGGCCTGTTGCTGAGCTTCCGTTTACTCCCACAGTCAGATGGAAATGGGAGAATATTCTGTCAGACGAAGCTGGGTGTGAACGCACAGCACACCTGCATGGGTGGCACCGTTGTCAGAAGGGGCTGGGGCCCAGCAGTTTGTTCCAAGGGTGCTGGACAGGCAAAGAATGACACAGCTCTGCCTTGGGTGTCCTCTCTTCTAGGTAAGATCAGAACATCACCCAAACAGCCACCATGCCTAGCATTTTGTGTTTCTTGTTATCCTCATTTTTGGGACAAGAAAAACTGACAGTGGATCCAATAACCTACAATTACACAGCTAGTAAATGGTGAGCCAAGATCCAGACCCACCTTTGCTTAATTCTAGGACCCTGGGCACCAGTGCTGGCTCCCCCGGCCTCCTAGGCAGGCAAAGAAAACCTTGGGGTGCAGGGAAGGGGTGCGGGGAGCTTGGGGCAGAGCTTGGGCCATGCTACTAGTGTATAAAAGAGGGTGATGGAGATTCGAATAGGCAAGAGAGAAGAACTGAGAGAACAGCTCTTCCAGGCTGCAAGGGCTGTCCGGCACGAAGGGCTCCCACGTGCCGTGGAGCTGGGGAGCAGACTGAGTTGCCTGGACGAGAGCACCCAGTGAGGGGCGGGCTGAGAGCGGACAGCTAAGCGCGGAGGGAGGAGCCTCCACTGAGAAGCAGGTATTTTCCTGAGGATTGGCCTTCTCTAGCGGGGGCCTTCCTATCCCAATCCGTGAGTATCAGAAGGGGACCTGGAACCCAGGTCCACATGGCGCCGAGCCTACGGGGCCTTGCCCTTAGCCCCTCCTGCAGCCGCACGCCTCTCACGTCCTCGACTCTGGCCATCGTTCTCCATCCAGACCATTCTTCTTGCTCTTAGAGCTCAGAATCACTGGAAAGCCGGTTGAGGGAGAAAGGGGAGAACAGGACCGGGCAGGCTGCTCATGGTCCCAGGCAAGTCCCCAACCTCACTGGATCTCAGTCTCCTAATCGCGTTCCTCCCCTTGGCACCTCACTGGGTTGTTATGAGGATCAAAGGGAAAGATGGATATGAAAAGCAGAACATCCTGTTCTAGCGCTTTGTTCATTCAACACACACACCGCCCCAGAGTGGCGGGCGCAGAAGGCGCAGGCCCTGCCTGGAGCTGGCAAAGCACAAGGGTTAAGAACACGGAGTCCCACCAGGCCACCTGCCTGTAATCCTGCTCTGCCAGCCCCCTCGGTGACTCCAAGCACGTTCCTTCACCTCTCGGCTCCTTGACGGCCTCATCTCTGAAGTGGGGATGACGCTACTGCCCACCCAAGGGGGGCTGGAGTCAATACACACGGGGCACCTGGCAGGGCCCGCTGCATAGTTTGTGTGGCTCAGTGCAGAACGCCACAGCAGAGCGCTGAGCGAGGCACCGGACCCTGGGCACAGGCCGCACGGCACGAGCCAGCCCTGGTGCTTGGAGGCTGTGTTCTGTCAGGAGTACTTTTCCTTCAGGGAGGAGCTTTGAGGTCCCCGCCGGGTGCCAGCGTGGGCTGGGTTAGACCCGTGCACACCAGCAAGGAAGTTGAAAGCCAGCCCCTTCTAGAGCCCTTGTGGTCCTCTGGCCTGGCCGAAGAGGCAATCGCTGTTGAATGTTGGGTCCCCAGCACCTCCTGGGAGACCAGTGACTGTGTGTGCAGCCTGGCTTTACATGGATGGGCCAGGGCCTCAGCAGCTGGGGCTGCGGGGAGGGGAGGTGCTGGTCAGCACCTGGCAACTAGATTTCATTATCCAGAGCACGTTCCTGACCCCGGAGGCAGAGAGGAGATGGGAGGCTGGGGAGCTGTAAGGGGCTGAAACACGTTAGCAGGCAGGCTGGTGCAGCGCAGGAAGGGTTTGTGGGTATGAGGGCTCTTGTGTTAACTGGAAACACGTGGATCAGGGCTGCCGGCCGAACCTGGGGAGGGTATGTATACGTGTGTTCTGTGTGTGTGTGTGTGTGTGAGAGAGAGACAGAGACATACACAGAAAATGGTGATCTGTCTCCATACAGGCGTGCCCTCCTTTTCGAAAGTTCACATTACATCACTTCACTTTTATAGAAGGCTCATATTAGTACCTGTTTTTGCTAACTGAAAAAAAATCCAAGAGGATTTTTTGCTTTTACAAAAAAAAGGGGGAAGATACAGCCAGTGTCCGGCTGCTTGAGGGCATTCACCGGCACTAGGGGCTGCTCTGAGCTGCACGAGGCAAGCCCGAAGCGCCTGCCTGCAGAGCAAGCCCCCGCCCCCAGCAGCCCTCAGCCAATGGAGTTGGTAGGTAGACAGCCCAGCTCCCCCTCCTCCAGGAGGATAACCGAGGCATCCAGTGGGGTTGAACTCCAGCTGCCCACTAGCCTGTGGTCACTAGCCTGATAGAGCATTCCTTCTTAGCTACCTACCTTCGTGACTTGGTCTCTCTGCTCCACACCCCCAACAGTGGTATCTCTGGGCATGAGATCACCTTCTAAAGGCGCCACTTGCCCTTGAATCCTTGTCTGTGGATCCCCCCCTGCCCCTCTCCTGTCCATGCCCAGGGGCCGCCCAGGCTGATGCACAGAGCAGGAGGCTCCACGCAAGGTGAGGCGGGGGCGTGTGTGGCCGTGATGTTTATCCAGAGCTCTCTGTGGCCTTTCTCATCATCTGGTCCACCGGGACACCAGGGAGAGCTGGGATTGGATGTTCTCAGCACCTGCTAGATCCTAGCTCTTTCCCATCACTGTTCCTGTTTTGTAGATAAGAACACTCACAGAGGTTCGGTCCCCTGCCAGGGTCCCACAGGCCAGGGCCAGCCACTGCCGGGATTCAGACTAGGCAGCCTCACTCTAGAGCAGGGCTTCTTAATGAAGCACTGTTGTCATTATGGGTTGGATAATTCTTGCTGCAAGAGCTGTCCAATGCATTATGGGATCTTTGGCCTCTCCTCCATGGTTGCCAAGAAGACCCCTCTCCAGTTGTGACAATCACAGATGTCTCCAGACATTGCCAAATGTCCCCAGAGGAGAACCGCTGCTTAACCACCCACCCAGGATGTGAGGAGCCCAGATCAGCCAGAAAGGCTGCAGGACCCTGAACTCTCGCCGCCTCCCACCTGCGCGGCCCTGCGCCCCAGAGGCTGCTGACAGAGGGGGCGCTGTGCCTCGCCTTCTTCCTCGGTAAAATGAGGAGTTGACTGTGGTTCTTCTCTGTGTAGAAATCTGATTTTAACCCTCCCTCATGCCTCCTGTTGGCACCATTTGTCCAAGTGCTTTGTGGAAACGCCTCACGCACCCTCTGAGGCCTTCAAGCAGCCATGTTTGGACATATAGTCACAGGGCGGGTTTGTGATCTGGTCAGACCCCAGGGCTACTGAATCCCACCCCCACAGCCTTTCTTGGGTCCACATGGGGCGAACCCTTCCCTCAGTCTCCTCTCCCTCCCCTTCTCTCCGCCTTAGGCCTCCCCAGATCCCAGCTCTCTTAGGGAAGAGGAGGAGACCCCAGCAGTCCCTGGAACCCACCTACAGGTGGGGCCACCACACACAGCTCTGACCCTGGAAAAGGCAGCCCCTGCTGGGACCCGGAAGGACTCTCCCCTGCTGCTGGAGCTGCAGAAGCTGCCAGGGCTGGCCAACACAGACTTGAGTACCCCGAACCCCAATATCCAGGTGAGAGCAACAGAGGGACCAGGGGCCCCGCGACCGCCTGGAGGGGGCTGGGCTCAGTGGCTCACAGGCCTTAGGCGTCCTGTCCCGTGTTCCGTGGAGGGCGGTCCCGTGCGGGGTGTGAGAAGTTGACTCCCGTGCTGTCCCCATGGAGCTGTAGGCTGGGAGGGCCTGCTTCTCCGCTTTCAAGCTGCAGACTGTGAGCAACTAATGTCCATAGCAAGGGACAAACAGCACCAACCTGGCCGGGATGTCCGGAGACCAAGCGAGTGGAGAAGGCTTTGGGAGCTGCGGTGGGTTCCGGAATCCAGGGGGAGGCCTTACGGAGAAGCCCGGAGGTTGGATCCCCACCCCGGCCCAAGCCTGTACTGCGGCGCCCTGAAGGGCTGGTGGCGGGCTGGTGGGGTTCCAGTTTACCTACTCCACTGCCAGTCCTGAGTCCCTAGGGGTAATGATTCGGCATTTTTCGTGTAGCGTCTGTAGTTACGAAACACTTTCACCAAAAGAGAAAAGTGTAGAGCTAACTCTGCTAAAAGGACGTGTGTATGTCTGTATGTGTGTGCATGTGTCTGTGTAAAACCTGTCAAGTTCATCTCTAAAATGTTACCTGCTGGCAGTGGAATATGGGCGACGTCCATGTGCTTCTTTCTATTTTGCTGAGTGTTTCCCTAAATTTTGTTCAGTGATCTCAGATTCATTCATAATAACCTCAGATGGTGTTTTCAAAGTTCACTTTCACATAAATCATTTCATATTATTTACTCCCTCTCCACGATGTGGTGAAAGAGAGCCCTACCTTTGCTCCCCGGGGACAGGGGGTGGGGCTCTGCTGTCGCTGCTGTTGTTTTTTGGCTCTACAATGAGGAGATGGAGGCTCGGGGCTGTTAGTGGCCCCTGAGACTGTGCAGCCTGCAGGCTGGTGGAGCCACAGTTCAAAGCCAGCTCCTCGTACACGAGTGGGTCTCGACCCTGGCACATGCCACAGCCACGGTACCCGGCCCTGCCTAAGACCAGTTAAATCCACGTCTGGGGTGGGGAGTTAGAAACCTCCAGCGGATTCCGATGCACAGCCAGGTCTTAGGCTGTGACCCCACGTGCCCTGGGAGGCCAGGAAGTTTGGGCCTCTCCCCGACTGCTCCTGCCTCCCCTCTCCTTGGCGTCCAGCTCTGAGCCCTCCCGCACTCACCAGCCTGGAGTCTCTCTCCCTGCAGGTGACCATCGAGGTGGTGGAGGACCCCCAGACCCAGGCGGAGATGGACCTGTTGGCTGAGCCAAGCAGTCGCGGGCCCCAGGGTGCCCCCAGCTGGCAGCACACCAAGGAGCTCTTCTGGCCCCTCTTCTGGGGCTACACGGAGGGGGAGGCGGGGGAGTCCAGTCTCAAGGGCAGCGTCCCAGGGGACAAGGAGGAAGAAGAGGAGGACTACCCTTCAGAATACAGTGAGGAGGCGGAGGAGGACGACGACCCTTCCGAGTACAGCGACAGCGAGGGCCAGGAGAGCACCAACGAGGAAGATGACGACAAGGAGAAGCCTGGGTTCAGTGGAGCCACCGGCGGCTGGGAGCAAGGCTGGCTGGCCCCCAGGGACTGGGACTTCGAGGAGCTGGACAGCTACGGTGAGCACCGCCATCCTGGCATCCCTGGCTGCTGCCTCTCAAGGTCCAGAGTGGACGTGGGGGTAGAGAGAGGGCTGAGAGCTTCCTGGGCAGGGGCCGCTGGCGGACCAGGAGCTCAGGCCTGTGCAAACGCCACCTTCAGCTCAATAGTAACAACATCACCCATAGTTGCTCAGTCTTTTTCCCCGTTTGTCCCTCACAACAGCCCTGAGATCCCCTAAGCAAGACAGACATTTTTAATATTATAGATATTCATATCTATCAGCTCCCAATAAATTGGAAAATATTATAAATACCACCAATCACAATGGACCTCATTTTCAGACTGTGTAAGTCTGAATCCTGACTCTGCCACTTACCAGCTGAGTGACAGTAGGCAAGTTACCTAACCTCTCTGTGCTCAGTTTTTTGCCTTATTAATACTGGGAATGGCACAACCCTCACTACGCAGGGTTGGGTGTAGACAGTATTAAGTTAGTGAATACTTTCAAAGTGGCAGTATATAGTATACACTGTATTGGTTATTTTTATTAGAAAAAAACATGATACAGTCTATTCAGAAAATGTTACCTAAAGCCTGCCAGTCCCCCCTCTGCATGTCAGCTGTTTGTATTTTTGCACATGCAGTTCAGGATTTCCCTGGGTGCAGACCATTTTGTGCACATTTGCGGCCATTCTCCCCGGGCCTCGGTGTTCTGTCATTGGATGGAGGTGCCTATGAACAAGACTAAGTCATAGCAGGCTTTTCCCAATTTATCAAAATAATAGAAACTTAACAGGCAGAACTGTCATGGCTTTCAGCTTTTGCACCTTTATTATCCCTAAACTCTTGGTGCCAGCCTGCTCGGCCGGCCGAGAAGTGAGGTGTGCCGGCCACGGCATTGGTTTCGGGGGCTCCACAGAGAGCCCGAGTCTCAGGCCCTGCACAGCCAGAGGGTGCAGTTCACCTGGGGTATTTCAGGTCTCTGGCTAGGACCGGGCTCCTAACATGGGCAGCAGGGACATTCTTTAATACCCCTCGTGACAGGCGAGTATTGTCACCCAGGGTTCTGATTGACATAAAAACTATAGCTCAGAGATGGAGAGGGACTTGCTCAAGGTCACACCGACAGTGGCCAGGTGGCCTCCAGCCCAGATATCTTTGGCTCTTGGTTGCTGTGTTGGCACAGTACCTGGCTGGGGGTTGTGCCATCTCTGTAGCGCCACCTCCTGCTTTTGCGTGGGAGTGCACTGCACAGGGGGTGTGAGAGGGGGCTGAAACCCAGGCCCTGCTCCGCCCACTAGTATAGGAGCCCTGGCACGTGCTGCATCCTCCTTAGGAAAGGGTGCCTTTTGTTAATTTTCTCCAGTGCACCCTGTGGGCTGTGCTCACTCACCCCTGGCTCCCTGCCTTGACCCAGATTATGAGCTTCAAGAGGAGTGGAGCCCCTGGTCTCCTTGCAGTGTGAGCTGCGGCAGCGGCAGCCAGCAGAGGACTCGGCCCTGCGGCTACGCCTGCACTGCCACCAAGTCCCGGGCCTGCGACCTGCCCCCCTGTCCTGGTGAGATGAGCCACAGCTCCTGCACAGGGAGCGCCTTACACGCTGGGCCTGATCCCCTGGGAACGTGGGCATGTGTGCCTCGTACCAGGGGTGGACTTGGGAGAGGGGATGCAGGAAGCTCACAAACATGGTGGTCCTGCCTCATCCCAGGTCTGTCCCAGATGCTATGGGCACCGAGAGCCTAGTGAGGGCTGGGCTTCCCCATCGGGAGCACAGAGGTGCCCTGGGGCGCCACCAGCCCGGCCTCCTCTCTTCCCAAAGGCGCCAAGGAAGAGGAGCCCTTGGGCTTCCGCCGTGAGGAGCGGCATCCCCAGATCTACAGTGCTGCGGACATGCTCCGCCCAGGTCAGTGGGGGGCTAGGCCTGGGGTGTCGGGGAGAGCCTCTCTCGGGAGGGTGGAGCATTATCGTGGGGGCAGGAATCTCACTTCCGTCCGTTGAGGCAGAGGGTACGTGCTCCCGCTGGAAGGTTAGCCTTCCCAGCGAGGGGCCCTTGTATTTCTGAGCTCCCCGTGGACAGGCCCATGGGCCTCTCGCAGCCTGGCATTCCTGCCGGGACGGCCCTGATGGGAGCCGCAGGGCGTGGAGATCGCCCTACGGGGCCTGTTCTCCCGGGCAGCAGAATGGGTACGGGGCCTCCCAGCTTCCACTGCTGGCCACCCTCGGAGACGCCTGGGCAGGCTTTGTCCGGGAAGAGAGGGCCATCAGAAGGGGGTCGGGGTCCACATCTCCGGGACTGCTCCTTCCAGCGGCTTGGAGCAGGCCGCGCTTTCACCAGCACGCTGGACATCTGTCACCGGGTCTCAGCTGCACCGCAGGGAGCCTGCAGGCTGCCGACAGCCTCCCTGGCTCAGCGCCGTAGCAGCTCGCTGTGCCCCTGGCGTGGTGCTGCAGCCGGGGGTTCCCAGAGGACTGAGGCCTAGTGCCTGTCCTCAAGGAGCTCGGGTCTTACGGGGCAGAGACACATGACCACCTTGAGCACTGCACTGGAGGCTGTGCCCCGGAGTCTGGGGCACAGGAAGGAACAATTTGTTCTGTGTGTCAGGCGTCAGAAGCCACTTTTCCCAAGGTAGAGAGATGAGGGGGCGCGGCATAGACAGAGGAGGCCACAGGGGGCCCAGAGTGGCAGAGTGACCACCCAAGGTCCTGCGGCCTGAGAAAGGCAGTTTAAGAGCAAGAGTGGGCCAGGGGGTAAAAGATAGGGTGGGGCCAACATGGGTTTCCAGTTGTGAGTATGTGAAACAGTTTTTTCTATTATTATTATTTCTTCATTATTGTATTATTTTCCATACGAATAACTGGAAACCTACGTTGGCCCCAGCATGTATTAAAACGTTTTCTTACCAGTTGGTTAAAACTGCTCTCCTGCCCCAACCACCCAGCTCCCTCCCCAGGACCTTTCCATCCACCCAGCACCTAAAGGGACAACAGCTGGCAGAGCAGAGGGCATTGAGGCCCCCCTTCACCCCCTTGGCCAGGGTCTGTTTTAAACCATGGCCTCTTGCTTCAGGTTTCCTGGGTGTTGTGTGGGAGCCCCTGTCTGTCAGCAGAGGAGGCCCAGTCGTACTGCCCCCAGCTCTGGTGCGGGTTCTAAGGCCCTTCCAGGCCACACCTTCGTACCAGCCGGGGCTCTGGCCTCCACGCACCGGCCCTCCATCAGCCCCCACCACACCACACCACGGGGGTGACCGCAGTTCCCCCACTTCTCTGCCCTCTGCAGATGTGGACAGCTGCGAGAAGTGGCTGAACTGCAAGAGCGACTTCCTGGCCAAGTACCTGAGCCAGGTGCTGCGGGACCTGCCCAGCTGCCCGTGCACATACCCGCCGGAGGCTGTGTACAAGGCCGTGAGCCTGCGGGATGAGCGCCGGGGCCGCAGCTTCCGGTGGAAGGATGCCAGTGGCCCGAGAGAGCATCTGGACGTGTACCAGCCCACGGCCCACTTCTGCCTGCGCTCCCTGCTGTCCGAGGACAGCAGCACGCTGGCCGCCCAGCACTGCTGCTACGACTCGGGCGGCCGGCTGCTGACCCGAGGCAAGGGCGCAGGCGCACCTGACCTCATCAGCACCGACTTCTCACCTGAGCTGCACTTCAAGGTGGACAGGCAGCCCTGGATCCTGTGTAAGGGGGACTGGAGCCGCTACCACGTGGTGCGGCCCCCCAACAATGGCCGGGCCTGCGCCGACAACCCTCCTGAGGAAGAGTACCTGGCCCAGCTGCAGGAAGCCAAGGAGTACTGAGGAGAGGCTGCTGTGCTGGAGGACTTTCCTGGCAGCCCCCGGCCTGTGAACCCCAGGAAGGTCAGCGCCCGAGTGTTGGGTCGGGTTGGAGAGGTTGAGGGGCACACAGAGCCCAGGGTGCGGGGAGGGAGCTTAGCCCCAAGGCCCAGGGGTGCAGTGGGGGTCTGTGTCTGTAGGGGCCTCCCTCTCTTGCCTGCCAGGAGGAGGCACTCTCCCTGCCTGGCTGCTCATGCTCCTCCCCCTCCCTTGAGCTGGGCTCTCCTGCCCTGGGGCTGCACACCGGTGTGAGCCAGGCTCTCAGGCTGTCCACACGCAGCCCGGTCAGCAGGGCCTGTGCTGACTCGCTCAGACCCCCAGCCCTGAGAGACAGCCCGTCGCCTCAGCCACCCCACAGCTGCCCTTTGTCTGCCCCGGGCAACCAGCCCTCCGATAGCCCTGAGTGGCTGCACCTGGCCCTCTGGCCGCCGGCTGGGAGCCGTGGCGCAAAAGGCTTATCCTCAGCTGGGAGCTGCCTTTCAGTGGACACCACTTTAGCCTGGGGCTGAAGGCTTTCAGGGGACAGACAGGTTGAGGCGGCCGAGCCAAGGCAGGCTCCAGGCAGGGAAGGGGTCACCCAGTTCAGGCCCCTTCCTTTGTCCAGCCCATCTGTGTTCTGTCCGGGTTGCCGGATTGTGCAGGGCGGGGGGATGGCACTGCCCCTAGTTGGGGGAGTGGCAGCGTGTCGCAGCGGCCTGGCTTGGGGTGGACTCAGAACCAGCTCAGGCATGTGTCATGCTCCTGCAGTGTGTTGGTGTAAAGCCATTCTCGGGAAGGGGGACAACTTCTGTGGTGTAAGTACTCCCACCATGGCCCACTTTGGGCTCCCATGGTGACGTCACTGAACGCACTGAGCCCAGAGTGGGGGAGAGATGCGCACAGTCCACTCTCCCAGCACAACTTGTGCCTCTTCCTGCCTCCCCTCGACCCCAAACTGCACTTCCTTGCCTTCTTGATGTTGAAATGCTGAAGTCCCAGCGGTCCCTGGCCACAAAAGCCTCCACAAGGCAGGGGATTTCCCTCCCAGCCCCTGGGCAGCTGCCTCGAAGCTCTCTGGGATCCTCAGCAATAAAGCACTTTATTTTCCAGTTCTGTCTGATGAAGACGTTGGAGCCCACCCGTGCAGGGCTGGGTGAGGGGCCTTTGCTTCCAGTCCATGCTGAACTCCCAGCTTCCACAGGCTGTGTTTGTGACCGCTTCACTCACCGGGCAGACACAGCTCCTGGGTGCGGAGATCAGGCTGAACCCACGCTTGTCAAGGGCTGCGTGGGAGACACATTCATTCTAAGCTTTTTGGTCAAAGAGGTAAATTGCATTTATCCAGAGGAAGTGGCCCTGCTCCCCCAGGTAACTTGCTGCAAGGGGATCCAACACAGAGTTGCCCCAAGGACTATACCTGTAAGATGGCAGAGATGGACCTATTCCCTGCCTTAGTGGATACCCTTACCACACACTCCATGGTCACTCCTGGCCATTGGGGAAGGAAGGAGTCACATCAAGGAAACAGAAATTAGACACAAGGCACAAGGTCACCAGTTCGATTCCCAGTCGGGGCACATGCCTAGATTCTGGGTTCAGTGCCCAGACAGGGCATATACAAGAGACACCTGATCCATGTTTCATTCTTTCTCCATCCCTTCCCCTCTCTAAAAATAAATTCTTTAAAAAACAAAAAGAAAGAAAGTAGAATGAGGCAAGGTGTGTTTCGAGCTGCCACTTGGAGAAGCCCAGAGAGCCACATTTTCCATTAGCAACACGCCTAGAGGCAAGTCTATTAGTCTGGTCCTGGGCCACAATCTGAAAATGCTTAGGCCACCCGATGGAAACCAAGTTCACACTCTCTCTCATCTGTGGAATTGAAGACAATTAGCATGGACATCTTTTAATTTTTTTTTTTTTTACCAGAAACTAAGCAAAAGTAAGAGACATCCCAGAGACTATTTTCACAGAAAAATGCAAATTCCCCTATTTTAAAAATTCATTAATTTTCTTAGAGACAGAGAGAGGAAGGGGGAAAGAGAAACATTGATTTGTTGTTCCACTTATGTGTGCATTCATTAGTTGCTTCTTGTATGTGCCCTGACCGGGGGCTGATCCTGAACCTAAGCGAATGGGGAGGGTGCTCTAACCAACTGACCTACCTGGCCGGAGCTCCCCTCCTAACGTAACTTACCCTGACACTTACACATGCTGTCTAAATTTAATCTATATCTCATGGCTGTTTATTACCCAAACGGTATTTGGCCAGTCCCATTTTTGATCTGTAATCCTAGTGACATGTTCAATTGCTACCATGTCAGGCCACAGATGAGAGTGACTAAGAAAAAGAGGCTGAATGGAGCCTTGAAGGGGCTTGGGGAGTAGGTCAGCTATAGAATGGTTCACACTCTACGGAGGAGAAAGAGGCACTGCAGGGAGCTGCAGGCTTGGGGAACACCTGTGTGTGAGGAGAAAGTGATGGAGCGCGCACAGCATCTGGGAAGGGGGGCCTTTCAGCAGCGGCTGGTATCAGAGCCAGGAGGGGCCTGTGAAGTCAGAGGGCCCCCACCTCCCTCTGATCCAGTGTCAGTCACGTCACTGGTGCGATTTACCGCTCCTCCTGTTGCAAACACCAGGAGCCACCTGTGGCCACATCGCTTGTGACCACCGCTACTCTTTCCAACTGAGCTGCTCCAGCCACCAAGATGGTTTTGCCCAATTTCCCCGCTTTGGTTAGCCTATAGAGGGTCCTGCTGTAGGTAAGACTGGTCAAATGGAATTCTTACTAGGCTATAAAACAACCAACAGTGCAAACCCTGTCAGATCCTGCTGACCTCCCATCTCCCGGAAGATTGGATGCCTCAGGTCCTTTGTTCCATTATTCACAGAAGGGACCCAAATGTGCTTCTTTGGCTCCTCCATTACAATTAGATTTTCTTAACATACTGAGGTGCTTCTCAAACTTAATTCCTGATGGCGAAATCAGCTATTTATTAAAATGAAAGTTCATGCCCTGGCCACATGGCTTAGTTGGCTGGAACATCATCCTGTAACCAAAAGGTTGTGGGTTCAATTCCTAGCCAGGGCACATTCCTAGATTGTGGGTTTAATCCCCTGTTGGAGTGTGTATAAGAGGTGACAGGTCAATGATTCTCCCTCTCTCCCCTCCTCCCCCTTCCTCTCTAAAATCAATCAATAAATACTTTGATGAACAAGGCTATTTAAAAAAAATAATGCATAAATAAAATGCAAGTTCATGCACTATACCCACTGGGTGAGAATCTCTAGAGATGGGGTCCAATTTCTATATTTAATGGGTGGTTGGTTCTTAGGTGAGGAAACATTTTGGTCTAGGGATTTGCAATTTGGCCAATTAAACACCTTTCCAAAATATTAATTCTTGCTCCAGGGAAAACACTTGGGCCATGAACACAGAAGTAGCGGGTGCCATTTGCTAACTGCTGGCAGTTGCCAGCATTTATGTGTCCATCGTCTCTAAGGCTCTCATAAGGCACCTGGTATACCCACTCTACGGATGAGGAAATTCGTCCCATTTGTAAGGAAGCGGCATATTTACGATTCCAACCAAGTCCACTGTTTTCAGTTACAGCAGTCTGCCTTGTAGACTCCGGTGGCTAACTGCAGTCAAACGACAGGGGTAAAAATGGGAATAGCTGTCAGTACCAGGGATGTGACCTGTTCCTATGTCACGTGGCAGACTCTTGGCTGGGTGCTTTGGTGTTTTGTTTTTAAGGTGTTAGCAAACTCTACCTCAGGACTTCTTGTAAGTACTCTTCTCTGGAATTAGTAACTCTCCAGTCAGGTGTGAAAGGGGTCCTTTTTTGTCACTGGTCTCTGTTAGGAAAGGAATCTGTGTTAGGAGGGGCCTGTTAATTTAAGCTTGAGTCCAGGAGTTTTGTTTTGTTTTTAATTGCTCTTAGAGAGAGAGGAAGAGAGAAAGGGGAAACATTGATGCAAAAGAGAAGCATCCATTGGTTGCCTTCAATAAGCGCCCTGACTGGGAATTGAACCCGCAACCTTTTGGTTACAGGATGGCACTCCAGCCAACTGAACCACACTGGCCTGGGCCAGTCTAGGCTTTTTATCAGAAGTTGTCTTTTTGGACCCCCAGGAAGCAGATATAATGCCCAGTTGGATGCAAGTTACTTCAGTCCAGCACTTGTTTGAATAATTCAAGACAAAAGTGGCTTTTGGGGGTCTAAATTATCCCTGTAAGTGCTTCTTCTCTGCTTTAAGTACATGTTTTGGCCAAGTCATTTTGGTAGAATTAGCCTGCAGGCCTGCCACCTAATAGAACAGGTGACATAGGGGGAGGAAAATAGCTGCAGGAGGCAGAGTCTGGAGCAGCCGCCACTGACTCGCCCTGGGGTGCGGGACGTGGGGCAGGGCTTGTCTGGGGGAAGTGACCCTTCCTATCCAGGCGGTTACCCCCCCAACACGGCAGTGTGAGCCCCTCCCCGAGAACATACCCCCAGCGGTTGGTCAGTGCTCAGTAAGCTTGTTTAATGGAACAAGAGGTATTTAAAAATACTCTAACAAGGACACTCATTTCTTCCTCTTTCGGGGAGCACTGAGACCTGGCATTTCCTACTCCAGGAAGGATGCCTAATATGCTAGAAATTGTTTCTTTGTGGAAATGAACCCAATGACAAGGCAGCAGACATAGTTGTTGATTAATTACAGTATTTGTCTACCGTCTATCAAACCCTGAGCCAAGCACTTTCCCCAGGCTGCCTGGGAGGTGTTGGAAAGGGAACATACAGGGCAGACAGAAATGGGAGAACTATGGTTCGTGGTGACAGCTCCTTCACGTGGTGAAAGGGGCGAGAAAGGCTACTATCAGGCAAAAAAGCCCCATGGCCTCTCAGAGGGCAAAGCCCAGAATGGTGCAGGAGAGCTGTTGCCTCAGGGAATTGGTTCCTGGCTTAAACACTGAGGCGGCTCCCAGACAGTCCCAATCCCAG